TGTTACTTTCTACTTTTTAACGAGTTCTTTGATTTTTCGCGGCGAAAGGTCGCGAGCTGACGCACGTGGTTCGATTGTTGCGTCATCGGAAGTTTCCTATAAATCTGGAGATTTCGATATGGTAATTTTTCTGCCTGGTCGATCCCTCGCTAAATATTGCGAATCATTTAAGGAAAGCAACTGGAAGATGAAAGGAAAGAAATATTACTGCGCTCGATATCATTGCTTCCTTAACCTATGAAAACGTCATCCATTGTTTTCGTAGTTTCGAGTCGAAAAGAAATTCATTTTTTGTCGCTAACCGATTATATAAATGTTTTGTTCCAAATATTTAGTTGCTGTCCAAGAAGGTGTGGAGGAAATTAAAAATTAGTTGTTTGGAATAATTCTTGAAAATTCAAGTTATGTATAGGTTATGTGTCTCAGCATGTGGCTCTGCAGTTCCTATTGATGTCGCCAGCGAGTTTCGTCGCGATGGAAATTAATAATAAGTACTCTCTTCCTGGAAGAGGGCTGAAAAATTTAGTTCTTTCGCGTGTATAACGGGCGTGCCCCCTCCCGAGGGAACCTCGTGCATCCTTTACGCTTTTTCTATCCTCCCCGGGACGCCATTAAAAGACTCTGTAGACTTTGTCGATTGTAACGAGGGTGACATTACGTGTCGTTAAACGTATTCCCGCGACACCATAAACCCCAGATTACATATCATGATATATTGCACATAAAGGTACTCAAAATCAAGCTTCGAAAATATTTTAAGACCGACAACAGAAATGATGTCAACGAAGTATTTCCAGTTTATCATTATACTTCATCGTTGTTATTAATATTGTTTAAGGTTTATTCATATGGGAGGTGAATAATTTTTTATTTAGCTATCCCAAGTAGAAAAACAATATTGCTTAAAAATTGATTTTTCTATGTATAAATATTCGTCGCATAACGAATTCGAATATTTACCCAATAAAATTTATGAACATTTTGAAAAATTATACCAATATGCATATTTGAACATTGAACAGATTATATAATAAAAATGTTCAATCAAGATTGTTTTTCCGTGGTCAATGCAACATTGGCTTAAAAATATAAAATTTGCAATAAATTCAATATTGAAAAACATATACTATATACAACCGAGAAGAACAACATTGAAACGATATATGCAAACAACGACTGCGACTTACAATATCGAACGATTCTTTAATTTATATTTGTTATTCAATATTTAAAATAGAAATCAATTGCAACATTTAAAAATTATTGGCTATATATTGGCCAGTATTCACATGGACCGATATTCCGCCATTGTGTGGCCATGGTAGGGTTCTACTTGTGATAATGTCGATTTAGTTAAAATTGTAGATCCAGATCGGTCTTCTCAGATTTGAAAAAAAGGAGCGAGATAGCTAAGTACTTTTTTAAACGGTTCGCTGCAAAGTCGGTTTGGTTAGTCGCCAGAAGGAACGATTCGTTCATAAACAATTTGGATGTTTGCCACACTACCGCATTAACACTTGAGTGCTCATTACTTCAATCTGTGCCGCCTCGAGATTGCATATCGTACTTGGCGTACTTGCACTGTCCAATAAAATTGGAGCAACTGTCCATCTCTGAAAAATCGAGATAAACGCGTGCCAGCTAGTCGTTTTAAAACATTTTTTGTGTAAACACGTTATCGTTGCCAGATTTCCGGTGTTCCGAAACGTGCAAACACTTTTGATAAAACGTGACAAGGGATAATATGTATATTTTGGCTATTTTCACATGAACAAAAGTATGCCGCACAGGTGTTTGTTTAATTGAAAATTGAAGGGCAGGTAGACCATGTGTTCCATTGAAGTCACTTGGGTCACAGTACGAGAGATTAAATTATATACTGTAACTTATCCTGGGGTGTCCTTTACGTTCCAGGGCGTAAAAGCACTCGTAAACTGCAGAAAGGATACCCAGGAGACATCGTATAGATGTTCTGAACTTTAATAGAACATTCGACTACGTAACTGTAATATAAAAGTTGGCACGATCTTGTTCGGTGAGGAGAAAACGCAGGAAAAGGGATAAAAAAAATTTGTTCCAGATAAAATGCAGGGTAAAGGATGTAAAGGGTTAATAATTTGTTTTCTTTCTTTTTTATATCGCAAGCAGGTGAATTTGTTTTAAATATAATCAAATGTAAGCTCGTGAATTTACAGGGATTATATATTTACCACGAAATAGAGGGTAAATGGTGTACAAAAGAATTTATTTTTCGTTGCAATGTAAATATTCCTACATATTGATAAACCATTTCGGATCAGGTGCAAAGCACTGTTTATCAGTTTCTTTACTTACTTTTTATAAACGACAGGGTGTTACCACGTACAAAATCTTTAAACTGAAATGTTAATCCTACTCCTAAGTACAGTGACACGTCTTATTTACAGAGCAGTACATTTCATTTATACAATTAATAACTACACCGCGTTTCAGGTTTTACTACTTTACATGAAGCAGTACGTTCGCACAGTTACAGATTTCGATTTATATATTCCTGGGATGTATACATCCGGAGCAAAATATTGAATCGAAAAGTTTGATAGAATTTTAGAAAATGGCACCGACAATATTTCCACATACTCGTTGACGGACACAATTAGCCAATATTTGGGGAAATCGAACACTTAGGCACATTGTGGGTGGCGAAGCTGTGATCGGCAAAAATTCGTTTCACAGAGTTAAGAAAAGAAGGTAAGAAATGAAATTAATTTGTACGATAAGCCCAGCTATTTTGACATCGACTATACAGTAGCTTGGCATTTTTCGTCGCCATTGTCAAACTGTTCAAATCAAATGCAATTACTTTTTCCAGCATATCGACTATATCTAACATATTTACACGTGATACAAATATTCCTCACTATAATCGTCAATTTCTGAACTTCGATCGCATCTTTTTTCCGAGAGGTTATTCACTCAGGAAATCATAAATTTAAAAAAAGTTAAAAATCACGTGGAAATCACAGGAAATTATTGAAATTCACCGAAACGTCATAATTTTAAGGCCGAACGTCACTTGTTACCGAATCGTATTGTTATTTATTATATGAAATGAAAGGCAATCGGTTCTTAAAGAAAGGAAACGTTTTCATTGATTTCCGAGTGTAAAGCCCCTTGTTTTTTTAATTACGTCGATCACACATCCGGCATATTTACAAGTGATCAATGCACCGGGTAATTGTCCACCATGCATCGATGTCACTTTCCGTTCTCTAAACCTGAATTAGTGAAAATACAATAGACTGATGAATTCCTGTGAAAATTTCGTATTTTCCATCGTAGCGTACTGAGATGGCAGTGTTTCGTAAAGTCTTACATGTACGGATCGAAAAAGTATACAAGACGCGTCCAAAGATACCCGAACATGGCAGACATGGCATCAGTGCTTATCTTTCTCGTATTCTTCACCCACAGTGACTTCAAGATTCTTACAAAATCCTACATTTCAAAAAGAAATGATCCTAACTATTTTGAACAGTTTCCTTCCTACCTCATTCATTCCTGAAGTCTTTAGCAGCATTTTGAACCAGCAACAAATGACCTAACTGGGACAAAGCTTTTATTAGACAGGTAATTGACTGTCTAATTAGCAACGGTAAGGCACCGATTAACCCAATGCATTCTACCAAAATCCTCCACACTTCCCGTCAAGAGAGATCCTAGATCATTGACTAGATCATCAATCTTCTTAGCAACGTTCCAAGAAGTATATTTTCCACCTCATTTTAATTAATCCAATGGCAGATCTGCACCGACTTACTCAATGAGATCTGCTAAACTTTTTTCTATTTCCCCCTAGAAAAATTCAATCAATGCTGGATCATCCTCTCCAGCTCAATAGATAGACTCTTAATTTTGACATAAATTGAATTTATCGAATAGTCGACAGACTGAACTCGACTAATTCAATGCGATCTACCAAAATCCTTCATAATTTTCCATCAAGATTGGATCATCTACCTCTTCAGCAATGATCTAGAGGCAGACTTTTCATTTTCCTACAATTTGAATTGATCCAACAGTCGACAGATCTAATTCAATGCGATTCACCAAAATCCTTCATATTTCTCCATCAAGATTGGATCATCTACCTCTTCAGCAATGATCTAGAGGCAGACTTTTCATTTTCCTACAATTTGAATTGATCCAACAGTCGACAGATCGAACTCGACTAATTCAATGCGATGTACCAAAATCCTTCATATTTCTTCATCGAGATCGAATCATCTACCTCTTCAGCAATGATCTAGAGGCAGACTTTTCATTTTCATACAATTTGAATTGATCCAACAGTCGACAGATCGAATTCGACTAATTCAATGCGATTCACCAAAATCCTTCATATTTCTCCATCGAGATCGAATCATCTACCTCTTCAGCAATGATCTAGAGGCAGACTTTTCATTTTCATACAATTTGAATTGATCCAACAGTCGACAGATCGAATTCGACTAATTCAATGCGATTCACCAAAATCCTTCATATTTCTCCATCAAGATTGGATCATCTACCTCTTCAGCAATGATCTAGAGGCAGACTTTTCATGTTCCTACAATTTGAATTGATCCAACAGTCGACAGATCGAACTCGACTAATTCAATGCAATCTACCGAAATCCTTCATAATTTTCCATCAAGATTGGATCATCTACCTCTTCAGCAATGATCTAGAGGCAGACTTTTCATTTTCCTACATTTTGAATTGATCCAAGAGTCGACAGATCGAACTCAATTAATTCAATACGATCTACCAAAATCCTTCATATTTTTCCATCAAGTCTGCAATCAAGATCAGATCATCTACCTCTTCAGCAAGAGTCTGAAAGTAGACCTTTCGTTTCCACATCACTTCAACTGATCCGACAGGCGGCAGATTTGCACTAATTCAAATTCAGAGAGCGACTGGCTAGGAACTCGAGATTTAGGCGCCAGGTGAGCTCCCGAACTTCAAAGGGAGCTTCGTCATTCTTCGTCGACAACTTCACAGCTGTGGTACTTGCTGGACGAGTCCAGCCAACTTTCGACACCGCTGGACGCCAAATCGTCGCAGGATGGCAATTCGGGCAGGGGCTCCATGTTTGGGGCACCTTTCAGGGTCAGGTTGTTCATCATCCTCTCCTTCGGTTTCGCGCCTCCCACTGCAAAGACAGGGTCAAGGTAAACCGGCGCATTTGTCCTACCGAAAAGTCGGTGGGTTACGGTGTAATCAGTGAAAGTATTTCGAATCGAGGCGACTGGGTAGGCCGTACCATTATTCAATGGCAGCTTGTTCTCCTTTCGGCGGATCAGAGCTTGTCTCGAGGCTCGGGGACTTCTGTACTCTCCTGAGAATCCCAGACCGGCACTTATGCTGGGAAGGCGAATGTCCAAGTGCGACCCTTTATCTGTAACTATCTAACAACCTGGGAAAATTAGACGTTAGATCCTCGGGTAATGTGGAAAAGTCTTACGGCAAAAAGTTTCGCACCTCGTGCAAGAAATATGAAAAGTGGTCAAATGGCCAAAAAGGAGCTTGCATGAATTATTGTATATTTTGGTATATTTGGACGTTACAAAGCTTGGGAATATTTCCTGATAGGTATTCAATTCGTTAACTGAAGATGAGAATTTAATTAACTTTTAATTGTGTAGTCAATCACTGAGAGAATTTTTTTTTCTCTCTTACTCCGAGATTGTCGATTGCGAGTTCTGATGATCAGAGTGATTAAAGGACGCGATATATTACCTTATTGTTCATGGCGTAGAGTTTGGTGGCGATGTCCCTCGCAACCAGTGTTGTTAAAACAGTAGCAAGGTAGGTTTCTTTAACAAGGAGATATTCCAGAGCTGATCTTTGCCAGAAGAGGTATCTACACGAGCTTGCGGCAACAATGGACACCTGGAAAACCACGCACGTAATATTGATAGAAAGAAATATTTAATTGGGTATTTAGAAACGGCTGAGAAATAATAATTTCGCTATTTACTGGTCATTTTTCTGCGATTAATGGGGATTCAACTCACTTTAAACTTATCGTCCACAGACGCGCGAGAGCTTTCAAATTCCGGAGAGTCCAGAAATTCGCAGGGCAAAATGGGATGAAGGAAATTCGTATCGCTGAGAACGTTCACTTTGCCGTTCAACAATAATCCCAATCTGTCTGTCCTCGTCAAATTTTGCATAGCGTAAGCTTCGCCAGCGTGAAGAGACATTATGGTTGCAAATTCCGGAGAGACCAGCCTCTTGAACTGCATCCGAGATACCTGAAACGATAATCAGGAAAGGTGAAAAATACTCCTGGAATGAAATCGTCGATTTTAAAATGAACTACCATTTAGAATTTTAAATTGAACCACCGAGCGGAAACTTCAACTGCATTTCTCGACGAAGGCGAGTAAGGTATAATAATAAATAACGAGGGGAAAGAAAATAAAATAAATTATAAAGTCAGGAAAAGTTGACGGTGATGTCTCTTGTATGTAATCAACTACTTGTATTTTCATAGAATTACTATGCTGTCCTTTCGCAAGAAGGTTTGGTTGCTTTACTTTCGGGCAGGATTTCAACACTCCATGACAACGAGGTAATTATCGAATACTTAAGGGTATACAATTATCCCAATTACTAAATAAAAAGGGGCAGATAATTGCGAATTATTCCGCTCGGCCGTGGAGCAAGCTCCTTTTTATATTAAATTTACCTTGAAGGGATAAAAAAGCGTGTGATACACTTCTTCCAGTTCAGGGTCGAATCGAACCGGTCTCATTTGGTACACGATGTAGACCAACTGTCCAATGTTCAAGACAAGGAAGGTGAAATTCCAGGAGAAGATATCCGGTGCACAGATGACATGCCAGGCCCATCCTGACAGTAGCATAAATCCTACGGAAAAGAATCGGTTAAATAAAATTTCAGAGATCACCGAAGTCAGATTAAAAATATTCGCCCGGAGAACAATAGCATTCACTCACCTCCAAAGAAACAAAAAAAAAAAATAGAAAAATCAACCAAAGGCTATCATAAAGCAATTTAAAATTGCGTAAGGAAAATTTTGCATCGGACTTCATTTGTGCATGCATATTTAAAACCATTCTACACATTGAATATATTATTTATAAGAAGGGTTCATGTCATTTGTGCGGTATTTTCAGAACGCACCGATGATCAACAAGGAGTGCATGAAGAGTATCCCCTTTTTAGATGACGGAGCGGAATACGACAGGACGAAGCAAAAATTCGCTAGTTGGAACAGAATGTGTTGTGGTTGTTGCCACAGACACATTGCCGAGGTTCCTGAAATAACGAAATCAATTTATGCTCCGGTCTGGTAGCTAAACTATTTTTTATGAATTTCTTTTCGGTTAAGAGGCGTTTGTACTGACCATGCCCTGTCACGTTGTACGAGGGCAAGGGGTCGTGGCCTAATCCTGGACTCATCTCGCGTGGATTGCACAAATTTTCAGGATTATGGCGATTTGTCGAGTCCTGCTAGACTCTGGCTGCCACTGGTTTGTTTTGGTCAGAGCATCTTACTGAAATCATCCTGCGTTTCCTTGCTGGGGGTCGCAGGGCGCATGATCCTGTTTCAAAGCGCATGTTCCGAGATACGTATGATCGATTCCTGTAAAAGTTCGTACAGCAGCCTTCCCCTGGAAATTCCATGAATGTGTTGGCTTCTATCGGTGGTCGGTAAGACAGAAATCTGTGCTAGATGGTTGCTGGATGTGGGTTAGAAAGTAACCCTAACAGGAATCCAATGGTAAGGTCTCTGTAGAAGGAAGGTCTGTTCTAATAAATGTAGTTCTATGGAGAGGAAAAAAGGTGGCGGTAGTATCACAGCTGCTCAGGTAACGAAAATGGGATTTGAATTTCTACCCTTATTTTTCACCCAGAGGTATCTTTTAAAGTTGAAATATCTTTTCTAGGGATTGGAATTGCTGCAAGAACGGTAAGTACTCCTTTTTCAAATCTTAACAGCGCTTTGATTTCACAAATTAAAAAATTCTGTAAAATGAGAACCTTTTTGCTTTTATGCTGTATACTCCGATTTCAGGTGATTGGGAAGGTACGTTTTTTCTCATTTCTTAATATTCCAAAAATAGGTACGATGCAAAGGTACATTTCTCAAAGCGAAATTGCCCAATCGAGGCAAATTTAATCTTTGCGGAAAATGGGTTTTTCTTGCGAATAAGGAAATTCCTTTAAATTTGAAAAAACATCTTTGAGGAAATAAGCATGAGAGCGAATTTAATCATGCAATGTTTCATAAGTCGATCTGTTGGAGGCAGAAGGCACAGAGCGGAAGGTAATCCCTTCATGCACCTGCAAATCGATTTTTCATATTTAAACATTTGCAACATTGCATGATTAAATTCGCAAACATTGCGAATTTTATCATGCAATCTATAATAAGTTGATCTGTTAGAGGCAGAAGGCACAGAGCGGAAGGTAATCCTTTCATGCACCTGCAAATCGATTTTTCATATTTAAACATTTGCGAGAGAGAAGTTTTTACTGCGAAAGATAAATACGAGACTCGTCCCGTTTATTAACTATTTCAAAATTCCTACCTCACGTTCCGATTACTGTATACATTTATTAAAAGCTACCCAAAGCATACATTATCCTCGCATTTCGTATTTCTCTGTTTTGAAAAATGCGGTACCATTTATACAAAAGACAGATTATATTGGCGTACAAGCTGTCGTTATAGAGATCTGCAAAGTTACAATCGCACGCAGAAGTGTATGCAAATTTAACATTCTTCGAAATCTCATAGAAAGCTGGAAAAAAAAAAATTGTACCAAGGTTCTGCGACAACAATATTAATTTTAATAAATTACGGCATTTGTACTTGACAAATTCACAGCTTGTGGACCATTTCATGCTAAATTGTTGCGAAATTGCATTCGTATCTCCTGCGAGTTGATAAAGTGCATTAACAGATGCTTTTGAAGCCTTCACTTCAGTTAAATGTGTTTATTAGGAGTCAAGTAGTAATTCATGTTAATTAATCGGTATACCGAGTATGACCGAACGTTGGCCGCTATATTATAGACTTTGTTGGTCGATACGTCGATACATATATGTTACGTATGGGGCATGTATATTCATCGAGTTACCAAACTCACGATAGACTTGTTTCCCACACATATTGTGTAAAATTTTATTAGATGAAAAAATCGATTGTAACATTGGCCTGGGTAACAATAAAAATGACGATGCAATAATAAGAAAGAATTATTTTGCATGTAATTGTAAGTATTTATACGTATTAGAGTAAAAATAGGTTTTCCAAGTGAACCAAAATGTCCGAATCCGGTTAAGTTACATTTCATACCCGAAGCTATCGATTTTGTAAACACAATCACGTATTCCTGAACGGATTGTGGAAACTTTGAGGCCGTTGGGAATTTCTTGTGGATCCAATGACATTGCTCTGCTGAGATTCAAGACGCTCCTTGGAAATAAAGTGAAAAACCTTTAAAAGCTCGCACTCGTTCTTGAATTGGCTTTGCAGGTCGCATGGAACGCTTTTAACATATCGGAACGTGAACTAGTAGAAGTTTTGCTGAAGTATTTACTTTGCATTCGTTCATGGAATGCACCCTGGAATTCTGAAAGACCTATGAATATTATTCATTGTTCGAAGAAATGAGATCTTATCGCGAAATGAGCTCAACATGGATCCATATTGCACTTCATTTACACCTATATTACATTTGACACTGATTAGTTTATTAATAAAATTACACATCCCTTACGTGATTGCTTAAATTTAATTTCAGGAATTTTTTCTTATCATTTTGTACCGGCAAGAAATATTTCGTAATACATTGATCTGCATATGCAAGGCTTACAAAATCGCTTAAGGTGAAGTGAAACACGTTGAGGAACTTGATCAATGTCGATAAAGAAGATTTTTCTAAATCCCTACGTTGCCAACGTTCGTTTTTATATTTACAGCTGGGTCGAATTATATTGGGTATTGTACCAAATGGCATATTCCACCTGTCGTTTTCGTACAATAATTATAAAGAAATCGAAGTAAAACTCCAGAAAACCTCTGGATTCATGCCTTCTGGGGCCCTAATTGACTGCGGAGGGCCCCCCTGCGCCATCTGTGATTTCTAGGTCAATTAAATTTTCACTCCGAGACCTCGTATTACCATCGTTTTAGCAAAGAAGCGCATACAACACTTTTTTTGCCTTTATCCCGTTCAAATGCGAGTTTATCGATTACCAGAGTGTTCTAAATTGTCGTAAAATTGTCCTGACCCTTTCGATTCTCATATCAGAGCCTTCGATAATTGTATATTGATCGAAATATGAGAGCTCGACGCCATTTTGGTTCTGGTCTGGACTGAGTTAAAAAATTTGTTTGAAAAATCCAAATTTTTAATGTGTCAGGACAATTCTTAGATGATCAGGAGTGATGTGTCAAAGTTTCGGACAGTTTGGTCTAATACCCTTAAAAAAAAGTGTTGTATTCGAATCGACTGATTTGAAGGATGTTTCACTTCACCTTAAATTAGAAGCGGGACCACTCGAAGCTAGTTGGGAATAAAGTAAGAAAAATTGGAATAATAAAACTGAAGTAAAAGTTTCGTTTCGTCGGACTCCACTTTTCTTTGCGATAATATCGGCTTTAAGCCAATGCTTCCAATTGGACGATTTGTTTCCTTTTGTTTTTTATCCCGGCCGTAAACGCGAACCATAACGGCACCGTCGATATTCTTTTGCGCGAAAATATTATTTATTGTAAATCGGTAGCTGTACAATTTCTGTGACTTTTATCGGCTGATCTTCCTGTGATCCGGTGACTGTTGTATTGCAACCAGGAGTGAATACGTAATGAGGAGAGTGTTTACACCGCTAGTCATCGAGTACATCGCTAATTCGATCACGTTTATCGCCGTTGATCGCTTCAATGAATTTCCCGGCCTTCGGAGGCATTCGATGTCCAAATGTCTGTCAGAAGGGCATGTGAAACCTTCGATATTGTCAAACTTTACAATGCGTGACCATTATTTATGCACATAATCGAAGAGAGTTACAACATGGTCGCATCCATTGTTCTTGTTCGCACCTCCCACATGTCGAAAATCATCCCATCATAGCACATAAACCTTCAATAAAAATCACAATTTTCAATGCTTATCACCGAAAAAGAGAAATTTCCCTGATATGCGGATAAAAATAGATAACAAATTCTTGGACGACTCAGTACCCAGTCCTCCGTTACACACATTAAAAATTACACCATAGTTACACGTAAACCTGGAATCAAAAAAGAAATTAATTTCACAGTCTTCAGAACTTATCACTAAAAAAGAGACATCGTATTTTCCTTGTAAAGAAGAAGATGGCGGGTTGTAAGTTGTTGGCTGTGGTTGAAATTTCGAGGTAACGCGATACTCGCCATTTTTAATTTAGCAGTCCATTTGATGCCACTTTTTCATCGTAATACAGTCTGCGGTGGTTGTACATCGAGGTTGGTTGTTGGCTACATCCCTAATTAGATCATATTCAATGCCATGGATCGTTTAATCGAATAGAGACCGTCCGGAACAGCCCGGAATCCGGTATACCGGGAGGGCCGGTAAAATATTCAATACCATTGGCCTATATGGTGCACGCTTTACATTTATGCGCATATTTTATACAATGTTCATGCACGTTCAAGTTCTGCCTGGCCGACGTCTCCTTATGCAACCTCGACCGTGGTAGTATTGTTCTTGTTCACACCTCCGCGTCCAGGATGTTTCTATTAATTTGAAACTGTTGTCTAATCTCCACGCGTCTTATTATGAAATAAAAATAAATTGACAAATGAAACAATAAGGTCCATTTATACAGGTATTTCAGTGCCCACGTGTCCCAAAGCTCGAACAACACTTAGAAATGCAGATAATGATGATGCATATTAGTAATTTCGTACAATTAGTGAGCCCTCGTTAGCGAGTCAGTGAAATTCAAACGGTTAAGCGAAATTGCTGTTAAACGTAATGTTCCATTTACCAGAAGATTTTCACTCCGCTTGACGACGGATTAGATAGCGGGAAATTGGATAACGGTACGTCGATATTATTCCTGACATTTTGGCTGGTATATATATATACCCTGTGAAGGGTTTCGTCAAGTTTAGTGTTACAGTACATTCTGAGGGGTTCAGTAAGCCAGAAAAATGAAAATCGTGAGTACTGATTGTGTTATTTCGCTGCGCCATAGCTGTTACAATGTTCTTCCCCAAATCTGCAATGTGTAGGGAAAATTAATGATTTTTTTTTGGAATTTAATAGGCAATTTTTATGCTACTTGTAATTGCATCGGCCTGGGCCGCGCCACATACCAGATCTGTCAATGAAGAGCCTAGCGATCAGCAACTTGTCAAAGCTGAGGAAGAAATTGTCATCGACGATGATGGTCGTTTCAGAATGAGGTGAGTGATCGTGGAGGAGAATTTTTTTGTCAAAATGGACTTTCTACCAAGGAAGGTACCTGAGGTGTCCCCCTCCGATTTTGTTCATTTTTAAATATGTTATAGAGGACTAAAATCTAAGGGACCCGTGTTTTTTTTTATCGGCGGATAAACACTTTTAGGGAGTGAAATCAGGCTTCAAGGTTGGCCGTGCAAGGGGGTAAGTTGGCTGTTTCATGTAGAAGCACTCGACCGATTTTCATGAAACAACCGTCAAAATGTAGGGAATGAAGAATTATGAAACATGCATTTGGAATTTTTCGAAAAAATTCTTTTTTAAGGGGTGAGCCACCCGTTTGAATACTTCTTTTACCCCTTACGCGAGCAGTAATTGCTCTATCCAAATGAAACTTGGTTAATTTACAGACCAGAACAATACAAAAAATGTTTCATTTGGATAGAACAATTACTGCTCGCGTAAGGGGTAAAGGAAGTATTCAAAGGGGTGGCTCACCCCTTAAAAATGAATTTTTTCGAAAAATTCCAAATGCATGTTTCATCATTCTTCGTTCCCTACATTTTGACGGTTGTTTCATGAAAATCGGTCGAGTGCTTCTACATGAAACACCCAACTTACCCCCTTGCACGGCCAACCTTGAAGCCTGATTTCATCCCCTAAAAGTGTTTATCCGCCGATAAAAAAAGCACGGGTCCCTTAGATTTTAGTCCTCTATAACATATTTAAAAATGAACAAAATCGGAGAGGGACACCTCAGGTACCTTCCTTGTAAGAATATTGGTCACAGATTAAAACTAAAATTGTTGGCATAAAATACTGCCGTAACAACACTGTTGCCATAAATGTTATTTAATGTAATAACATTATATTAAGTTCTACGTAATTAATTCTTATAATTTCAGATTAGTCGCCGAGGATGGGACGACTATCCAGGAAGAAGGAGTTCTCATAGAGGATCAAGAAACCGGAGAAAATCGAATTATTGTTGAATCCGGAAGATATACTTACATCAGTGAAGACGAAGGACCCATTGAACTTATTTACAACGCAAACCAGCTCGGCGATTACGATATCGTTGAATAAATCGAGAAAATGGTGCCCATCTCTGTCTCAAACCAGCCATAAAGAAATAAATGAATAAATAACTGGAAGGAAATATCACCCGTATAAACATAATTCATAATTGTATACATTTCAAGTTCCTCTTCAAGCAAGGAAGAGCGAAAGTCGCCGCGAGGATAAAATAAATACGTAAATCGATTACCGTGATTACACCAATGATTGGTTTTGCAATACGGTACTGACTGAATTAGTACCGCTGTACGTATTATCATACCTAAAGGGAGAACCAGTTGCGAGCATCGTTCCATTGAATATTCAATTACAGCGACCAGTACCGTATCGACTATCGATATCGATAACTGCTGGCGAGTTACATCGCTCTTCGGTATTCTGTCTGGTCCATCGATACGATTGCACCCGGGAACTTCGATATAAGAAATTTCCTATCAGATAGTGCCCCATGCGGATCGATACACCTGATCATCTATACACATTGTGCTTATCGATTCTTTGAATAATTGCTCCAGCTAACTCTCGGTATTTCGTTGATTAAACCTGAAATGGTAGAGAAGAATTCCAATTTGTCAGGTTTCCCGGATTAAAAAAGTCAGTCGTGCGGTAGAAAAAAGACATTTCTCGTGGGAGGTATTGCAGGAATGCGAATACGAATGTGTCGACCATGTCGCGCGATTAAGCGACATCCCGTAAAAGCGAAAGTCGATTAAATCCGGCATGCGCAAGTACGAACGAACCTGCGTTACAACATTTAACGAGCCCCGGACCTTACTTGATTGCAGTTACTTAATGCATACCTGGCGACATTAATGGAGGTTCAATTCGCTAAATGAAAACAAAGGAGCCTGTTGAGAATCCTCGAGCTTTATGAGCTACTGCCGGTAATTCGATTCGCCAGTTTGTTAGCGGTCATGAACACCATCCAGCTATTTCGAGGGTGTTCATTCACCGAATTACTGTAAGAGGACATCCCACCAAGAGAGAGGAATGTCCGAGCGCATCTGAAAGTCGCGAAATCAAGTTATTGAAGTATTCTATACAACGCGATATTTTAAAGAGATTTTTAAATTAGGGAAACACACTTTTGAATGTTTTTCTATCAACGCGAGAGAAACATTTCATCTCGTTTGAAGCTTGCCACCAGACCACTTTCTAGATAAAATTAATTACTTGTAGCCGTATAAATGTTTCTTGCTAATGAAATCTCTTGGCATCTGGAAATTGATTTTGTGGGAATAATTGATGGTGCAAGCCGGGTCATAACGATTTTGTATTTAGTGGAAATGAATTTGCAAGGAGGTTCAATTCGCTAAATGAAAACAAAGGAGCTTGTTGAGGATCCTCGAGCTTTATGAGCTACTGCCGGTAATTCGATTCGCCAGTTTGTTAGCGGTCATGAACACCATCCAGCTATTTCGAGGGTGTTCATTCACCGAATTACTGTAAGAGGACATTCCACCAAGAGAGAGGAATGTCCGAGCGCATCTGAAAGTCGCGAAATCAAGTTATTGAAGTATTCTATACAACGCGATATTTTAAAGAGATTTTTAAATTAGGGAAACACACTTTTGAATGTTTTTCTATCAACGCGAGAGAAACATTTCATCTCGTTTGAAGCTTGCCACCCCTGCTGAATTAATATTCCGAGAGACAATTTTTACTTTCTAGACGAAATTAATTACTTGTAGCCGTATCAATGTTTCTTGCTAATGAAATCTCTTGGCATCTGGAAATTGATTTTGTGGGAATAGTTGATGGTGCAAGCCGGGTCATAACGATTTTGTATTCAGTGGAATTGATTTTGCAAAAAAATCTCATGTACGTATTTGACTTCCGGCATTGAAAATATCAGATCATTTCTTACATAACGTGTTGTATTTAATTCAAGTAACTTCAGGCTGCATGTGAAACAAATATTAATAGCGATTATTTTATTCAATCAACTTTTCGACTTATTTCGTTGATAATAGGAAGAAAACAACTTTTGGTTAAAAATTCCCGTCATTAAGTTGATTTTTTGCTCAGAGTAAGTGAAGTGAAACTTTTTATTTCCGCAAATAACGCAAACCATAAAGCAATTCGGTAAGTGGCGTGGATCGATTGCACATCGAGTCGAGCTAATTATGCTAATTTAATGCTATCCGGTGTTATTCATATTGATTAAATGCACCGCGGTGACTGCATAAGTCCACATCCTAAAATTTTTCTCACCGAGAACAAGTATCCTCTTCTGCGGCCCGTCTGATACTGCCAGAGAGCTATAAGTCTTTCAAAGGCGTGAAAGATGACTTCCACGTTGAAATAAGAACACCAGGACTTGTTCGGAACGTCTTTGCGACCGTTCGGCTCTTCGTCCAAAGGAGAGTCCCCCTAGTGGGCGGGTGTTGTAAGAAGGTTGTTCTGGAAAAGAAGGAAAAATTCAATCTGGTTTTTCACTCAAACATATCACGATCATGTATTGCTTTCCGTTATAAATCAGTATCCGACGAAATGTATCGAAAATTATACGACCACAATCGATTAATCACTGGTAGGATCGAAATTATCGTTTTCTGTACCTTCCAGTACCTTGGCATTAATTTCTGCGTTCCCTCGTGAATAACGAATTCTACAAACGTAAGGGACGTGTATCATGGTAATCAGCGATGAGCCTTGCTCGGCGCCATTAAAGGAGAAACAAAATGTAAATTGATCCCGAGTCCGGGTCCACTCTTAATTCCGCTAATAACTAATTATCAGTCGAGCATATACAACCGATAGAATTTATCGGAACATTAGCGACCGGTTATTCAGGTTTTAATTAGCACCGGCTAGCAACGCGGGTCTTCCACTCCGAAAATAGACCGACGCCGAAGAATAGCTCACCGAGATGAAACGCCGCCATGAAACGCCATGACGCAAAATGAACGGTCACGCGATGCGGCTTTTCTGAGTCGTCGAACCACTTCCCACACCTCGGAAGATCAGGATATTCGAGAGGATCCCTTCAAATCGAGCATATGTACAGGCCAAAGTACGAGAAATATGGGCGCCATCTTGCGCGTCTTAATTTTTTCCAAGATGGCCGCTTCGAGGGCCTCGGAGCCGATCCTGAAATAGTCTTTTCATTGTCGAAAGAGGATTCCTTCGATCACAGATCTCGATGGGCAGGAACTTTCCGATGCGTTTTTTATTTTCCCCGATCCTCGATGAGCGCCGTTAACGGAACGACCCCAATTACGTCCCGAAAAGTAGCAAGTGGAGTAAATTGGCACAATGGCCGCCGGCCATTTGCGCGCCGCCCTTCGTGCAATTATGTCATTCTCGCTCGTATGTGAATTGATTATCTCGATCCTGAATACTTTTTCAGGGAACCCCACCCGATTCCGCGTCGTTTTTGGGGAGGAATTGGGTTAATAGGATGTGGACCGAGAATTATGCGGTTTTGCGTTGTCCTTCGGTGGATAATGAGATCACGTTCTGCGAGTTTTTTTTCTATGTAATTTGCTGCATTAAGGTGAAGTGAAACCCTCCTCAAATCAGTCGATTCAAATAAAACACCTCTTTTTAAGGGAGGGTCAATTAGGACCTCAGAAAGTATGAATACATAGGATTTCTGGAGTTTTACTTGGATTTCTTTATAATTATTGTACGAAAACGACAGGTGAAGTATGCCATTTAGCACAATACCCAATATAATTCGGCACAGCTGTCAATATAAAAACGAACCTCGGCAGCGTAGGTATTTAGAAAAATCTTTTTTACCGACGTCGATCAAGTTCCTCGACGTGTTTCACTTCACCTTAAATGGAAGTTTCTCACGGTTGAGTTTGACAAAGAGAGCTTGATAAATCATTTTCTGATTCATCATTTACTTTCGTGAGAAGGATAGTAATTGAAAGACCTATTCTTTGAAATGATAATTCTTGACCATTTTTGCTAATTGTAAGACTCATTCCTACTTCACCAATTATGGTATTGCCGGGTAAGGTACTGTAATTCAAGCAGTAATGAATCGAATTGTCGATTGTAAAAGGTTGTTTCTTCATTGAGAGCTATATCTGGAAAATTAAATCGTGCTAACTAAAGGAATAGTGGGAATAAATGTTCTGTGCATTTTTTTTTATGTCTTTCTTCTGTTTCCAAATATTATCTGCGGGAAAGATAAATGATCACGTTTTATTTCTAAATACGTATAGGTCTATTTTTATTTTTTTTCGAGGATATCGAGGACATCTTTCACATTTCTTCGAGGTCTTGAATAACTTTTCGATACGATCGAATAATGAAAATGCCCGACGAGGTCGGAGTTTCCAATTCTGTGAATCTTTATACCCCACGGGTGCATTTCACCAAGAATGCTGTCCCTTCCACCCAATGTGGGGTTTGCAAGTCAAACTTCGCCTTAGGGATTTTCAGATTTATATATAAATTCTGTAGCTGGCATGACCGAAGCATCACTGCCTTCGTAGCATTCCCAAAATTAACATCCATCCCAACAACAAGCACGGCAGCGACATGAAATTCGTAAGTGTTTCAACAATTTCAAGACAATTTCCACATATCAATTATAAATTCTCTTCGAAATTAATTAATTTTACCACTCCCTCACGGTACACTAAATATATAGAATATGATTAATTAAAAACCATACCAGAAGCCGCAAAGTCCAATACACTCAAATCTTTCATATTACCGTGAAAAATGTATGCACACGTGACATTTTTTGAAATTCAATCCATTAAAGCATTTTAATAGCCCTGTAAAACTTTTCTTCGATCTGAGTGAATCGAATCGATTGAAATCTTATTAGATAAATATGTAAGTTCTAGAGAAGGTCCTGACAGCCGCAAGATTTCATTTATTAAATTTCTTATAAAAAATGTAATTTCGGGGGCGCCGGGACCTTTCATAGAGTCTCGCCGTTAAAAAAAAAATAAAAAAAAGAATTTCAAACAATTCGGTGCACCCAGTTCGGATAAAAGTTTATGAGCGCATTTAAGTAATGAGTTACATAAATTCATGCGTTTGCCTTGCTTTATGTATTTTACATCTAATTCGTATGTTTTCAGCTACTCGTTCTTTCCGCTTTGACCGCCATCGCCGTGGCTCGCCCCCAAGAGGAAATTCCGAAACCAGGAATCATTCCCGTCATTAGTCGTGATGAAATCCACGATGACTTTGGACAATATGCACTTAGCTACTTGTCCGGCGATGGGACTTCCCTGAGGGAACAGGGAGCGCTGAAACTCAACGCCGAAGGAAACGGACATGTTCTGGTCAAGAAGGGATCCATCACATACTATGCCCCTGATGGAACGCCCATCACTTTGGAATACATCGCCGACGAAAACGGTTTCCAGCCGAAAGGAGCTCATCTGCCCACTCCGCCACCACTTCCGGTTCCAGAGGCCTAAATGAGTTTCACTCGATACCACATGATTCGCCCTTAAAGACAGTCGATTAACTCCGAGATGAACACAGGTTGTTTCCCTTGCTTCAAATTTCCGAAACAGTGTTTGGAATTTTATCTTCAACCGAAAGAAAAAAAAAAACCTATTCCTCGAAATTGTACATTCAGTACGAATCGTTTTAAAATGAAATATTCATGAAAGTTTACCACCGTACACACCTGTGTAAATATTCATATATCACGTAGACAAATATTTGTTTGACATGCTCAAATTCAATGGCATGTCATATTTCCGTAACAATGTTTGGAATTTTACCTTCAACCGAAAAAGAAACATATTCCTCAAAATTGTACATTCAATACGAATTGTTTTAAAATAAAAAATTCACAAAAGTTAACCACTGTATACACTTGTATAAATATTCATATATCATGTAGAAAAATATTTGTTTGACAAGTCGAAATTCATTGGCACATTAAATTAAATACTTAGGTGATTCACTAAAATGTATTTACAATTAACAAAACAACTTGAGTAAAACACTTGACGAGAGTAAACGAGTTTGTTCAAGTGAAGTCAATTTCAATTCTCGAAACCAAAATGTTTCCTGAAACGAAACAAATAATCGAATGATTTTGCTCAACAAGCCGAATTTGTTTTCCTTGGGTGTATTACCTACCTGTAGATTGTTAATCAGGGTAAACACTCAGTTAAATTTGTGTTTAACTTTCTGTATATACAATCTATCGTCTTTGCCACATTTTCGGCGTGTATGCTGTTGGTCGACAAGGTTTGCATAAAATATTTGCCATTGGGCATCGATAACCGACGCAAAGTTTAACATTATTAACAATTATCAATGCAAAAGTGCAGTAAAATTCTCCGGGAAGACCGCATATATTTCTGGGTTAATTAACGTGCGCCCATGCGTGTGGTTATATTACTCAAACTGCAAATACGCATTTGCCTTGATAGAAAAATTTCATGCATCTTTATTTTCTGCCGAAAAGCTATCCGGACAACTCTACAAAAATGCGCAGATGCATGCAAGTATGCACCACAATCTGGGTGATAATAATAATAAAATCATAAAACTACAAATACGTATTTGCCTTAATAGAAAAATTTCATGCATCTTTTTTTTTTACCGAAAAGCAATCCGGACAACTCTATAAAAATGCGCAGATGCATGCAAGTATGCACCACAATCTGGGTGATAATAATAATAAAATCATAAAACTACAAATACGCATTTGCCTTTGAAAAATTTCATGCATCTTTTTTTTTTACCGAAAAGCTATCCGGACAACTCTACAAAAATGCGCAGATGCATGCAAGTATGCACCACAATCTGGGTGATAATAATAATAAAATCATAAAACTACAAATACGCATTTGCCTTTGATAGAAAAATTTCATGCATCTTTATTTTCTGCCGAGAAGCTACCCGGACCACTCTATAAAAATGCGCAGATGCATGCAAGTATGCACCACAATCTGGGTGATGCGATGATCCGGATGAGGTAAAGGCGGCGAAAGCTCCATCACGTGAGAGTGGTTTAACATTCCATTCCGCAGGTTTTGTGTGCCATATATGCTCGTTTGGCATCCTCCGACGAGGCTCAAGGATGTCAAGGATGTCTCGACGTAAGACGCTCACTTAATCAATTTACGTTTTCGGTCCAGCTCCATCCGAGTTGCATCTCGACGCGTCCCCTAGTAGCACAAAATATTTCTCCTATATTTTCTATATATTTAACGACTACCGTACATTTTGTAAATATTTACCAGACATTTGAAATATTTGCAAAACGTTTACTTAAGAATATTATCCCTACAATATTGATATAACATTACCTCCGTATGTTTTCATAATATTTTCCTACCAGATATACAAAACATTTCGTTTTATTTTAATACAAGAATTTTTTTTTAAATATTATCTGTCGAATACATTATGAACGTTTTAAAAATATTTAAAATCAGTCACACGTTTTGCTTCCATAATTGAAATAGCGGAACGGAAGTATTAGAAGAATTTCTCGTGTTTTTTTATACCAAATGAAGTGTCCGATAGTAGTCGTGAAGTAAAAAATCTATTTTTATTATAATAAGTTAAAAAATATAATTTCTCTATATGTTTATAAATTATTGAAACTAAATATGTCATTGAGATTTTCAACAAATATTTCAGATATCTTCGAATTAAATTTATAAGAAATCTTAAAAATTCTGTCGCTTGAGATATTTAGTAAATATTACAAAGAAATATTTAGGAATTATTCTATGCTACTAGGGTCTCTTCGGGATTTGGCGCGAAAGATGCATCCGCTGCACGCGAGAATGCAACGAGATTACGCGATGGCGACGAGATATGAGCTTTTTTAGTGTCGGTCCCGTGTGCCCCGCTGATGCCACGTGGTCCTTAAGGTTTTACTACGCCCGCCGTAAAAGTTCGACCATTTCGCATTCATAACATTCGCACTGATTTATCCCCTCTTGGGAATCGGAGCACGTGTACTCGAAAAAAAATGCACGGTCAGTTTTTATCCACGAATACGCGGACAATTATCCTGTGGAGCACTGTCAATTAGAAACACTTAGGAAGAGATTTAGGATTGGTAGGGAAAAATTGGGAAAAAGTTTAACGTGCATCGTACCGTTTTACATGTTCTTCAGAATTAATACGCAAGAGTAGATGGAGTCCAAAAACTGCATTATTGCACTCTTGGTATCCATGTACATTGAAAATCCTGTTCACGGGAATCTTTGCAAAAACAATCCGTGTAATTTTAATATTGCAAATTTAAAAAAATGATTTTCCATCCACGCGTAGTGAAAGATTAAATGTAAATTTGAAATTAATAAATTATATCAAGAGATGTGTTGTACAATAAGTGATTTAAAAATCCAAGTGGTGTATGAAAACTGACCATACCTAATGGCGATTTTAATTGATTCGTTTTGAACATCAAGGCTTTTGGTATTGACAGTTCAATCAGACTGCCTATGGACCCTAGGATTTTATTGCCGTTTTTAAAATGGTTACGCCGGCCATAAAACTCGACCATTATTCTGTCTAGTTATTCCGAGCTGATTTATTATTTACTGCAAATTCTAAGCCACCCCTGGAAGTAATTTTGAGTAGGCTTCTGTTTTCTTTCTGAGAACCCTTAGAGCGGAGATGCAAGTGTTCGATTATGGGATGCATAGAAAAAGTTTCGGTACAAATGACTTCCCCGTGATTCATGGATTGTTGTTTAGGGGAAGCTGTTCCTTTTAGACAGAATTTTACTGCAGCGCTTAGAAAGGATACCTTTGACGGTACTTCGGCTATTTAAATTTAACGTCACTTAAAACGGAGTTATCGACTATGTGTTCTTTTATCTCTCCGGCTTTCCTTGGAATCGTATCGGTTTACTTCCAAATCATCAGCCCTGTTACATTTAGAACAGGCTGTACCACTAAATCCTGTTAAAGGATAAAGATTCGTGTCGAGGTAATCCTCTGTATAATCCTCCATACCTTTTCTGGAAAATCTACAGAGCTGAAAAAAAGCGCATTTAAATCTTGTACGTTTTACCAGAAATTCTAGTGTAGCACAAACTCGAATGGCGTAAAGAAAAACTCAATTAACTCGGTCAGTAACATATTAAATTACGTCCGAAAATCGCTTCAAAGTAAGCTAAATGAAAGGTTTAAAAGTATCTCATTTTCCTCTTCTCCCTCCATTTAGTCCAAATATTTTTGTTACTTTTTTAACGAAAAAAAAATCTTTGAGCTCATGCAGATAATTGTGTTAAAAAGAAAGTAAACGCTATTGTGGTTCACAACACTGTAGCTGTGATATTGTAATGAAAGATAAGAAAAGCCATTGGGTGAACATTTAGACTTAAATTCATTTTGTAAATTGCAGCAGGAAAACATTGCTAATGAGTTTAAGGAGACTAATTTGTAATCAATTGTTATAAAGTGCTTTAGCTATACATATTTTTCTCGGGAATGTGTTGTTAGATTAAGTATGGCATTATTGTAAAGCATTCGAGATGTGGATAAGTTATGTCTTTAGCAACTGAAAGCAGACGCAAAGGTTGCAAATTATCTCAACGAGGGCCATTGTTGAATTCGAGAAATTTTCTTCTTTAATGCCGCCACTCGATCGAATGAAACTACTTTTATCGACGACAGAATCGCAAAATAGAGCAGTGACTGCTTTGTTGGACAATTTTCCGAAGTGTTCCTCGAAGTTCGACAAGTCGCCTACAATCATGCGCACTTGACAATGTCTATTTGCATAAAAGGGCGCACTTGACAAGCGCTGGTATAGGAGATCGGCAGCTCGCGCTGCGAGGAAGACAAGATAAAATTAGTATAATTACGGAATTAAGCAATTCTTCCTCGAGGCTTTGTCTATTGATAGGGTAATGCTTGTAGTGATTAGATATGTATATAGGAAATTACCTCCGGCCATATCGCGCTGATTCTCACGAGCTGATCAGCCAATCAATTGATTCGATCATGAAGTGTAAGAGAGGTTCATTAAGATACTTTACCGAAAATTGTAAGAAATTGAAGATAATGATCTTGATCTTTCAAAATTTAAGTAGCATTGCACAGCAATGTATATAGCATATGTCGACCATAAATTAAAGAATGATGATATTGTTAGGAAATAATTTTTAGTATCGCCCATAAAAAATCAAAGGCTTTCATTTCGGTGTTCGCGGAAGACTTCGGAGTGCATTTGATCTTTGGATTGAATATGATTATATTTTTTATCACGAAGAGAAGAGAGATATTTTTCTTGGGAAATAATTTTAACTATCAGTGGAACTAAATATACCGATCTTGGTTTTATTTAAATTAAAGAATGATGATTTCGTTAGGAAATCATTTTTAGTATCGTACATAAAAAATGAAAGGCTTTTATTTTGGTGTTCGCAGAAGACTTCGGAGTGCATTTGATCTCTTTGAGTTGAATATGATTTTCTTTTTATCACGAA